AAAGACAAAAACAAAATCAGGTTTGCGTATTATTAGTTATAAGGAAAGTATTATAATTCTTCATGTTAATTGCATACCTGAGCCACAAGTGCCATAAGGTGCAAAGCCTCGAGCGTCCTTTAAGACCAAAGAAAGGATCGCAAATAATCTGCAAATCAAGCAATAATGGAAGCTTTTTTAATAACTATGTATAAAATATTTTAAAAACCAATCAAAAGCAATACATGAGTAGTACTTGATTTAACGTCATCAATAAGATTTTGCTTCAACAACTTCATAGAAACCACACGTCTGTGGTTGAGTGGCGAATGACATTTCGGTGTCTCTAAGGAACCAAAATGATAAATGCTATTGTATATGTTATCATGTTTTGTAGTTTAGAAGGAGGTGATAAGAGCATCAATACTTAGACAAAAGTAATAAAAACGCATTAGCTAATCAAGCAAAATATGAAAGAGTCACGAAATATCTTATTCAAGAGAATTAAAATTCATGATGGTTATTTTTGTTGTCTATTATCTAAACTTAAACAACTTAATAAAAACTAAAGTTGATTAAAGATTATTGTGATAGTAAATTTAAAATATAAATAATATACTATCAAATATACATTTGAAAAGGATGATAAGATTCATGCATATACAAAAAAAAACATACATTTATTGTGAGTATTTGTTAAATACAAATAAAAATTAAAAACTATGAGATATTGAAAACGTAATACTAAAAATAATTACAATACTATACTACAGTTTTCTTTGTACCGCACAATCCATATAATATTGAAAAGGTGCAATTTATGTTTCTTAAACGATACCAATAATGATAAAAAAAATCATATCAGTATATTTTAACACAATTTATATGATGAAGAAAATAAATAAATAAATAAATAGATATATCAATAAAAGTTAGCATAAAGTATATCATTTTTTCAGTTCAATATTTTTTCAGTTCCTCCATTGTGGTTAACTGATTTCTTGTATGAACGTTTTACAGTTTTATTTAATAAAGTATGGTTGTTAAAAAAAGTATATCATTTTTGAAAAAAAAAGTTAATAGTCAAAAACCCGGGCGTAGCCCGGGAAAAATCTCTAGTTTAAATAAAAATAATAGGAAATTGAGTTAAATGTAATTGTCTAATCTAGACTATTTGTAACTAAATAAAATTGTTTATGTTTTAATAGTATTGATAGATGTATATTTGATATCTTCATTCTCTAAAAAATGAGAAAACATGTATTTTAGTGATTTTGCATTAGTATTTTTTTTTTGACAACGAAAGGCTGATCTATTACTCAAGCTTGAGGTGGTCTGGGAATCCAGACCGGAATAGAACAACCAACATACATGAGTTCCCGATAAAAGGATCGGGCAGTCTTAGCTAAGTGATCTGGCACAGCATTAAGAGATCTAGGTACATAAGTGATCTTGAAATCTGGGAAACAAATCCTCAGCGTCGAGATCCTTTCCAGTTCCGTCGAAAAGCTTGGCCATCCATGGGGATCTGTGAGCATTGGTACCAATTCCTTACAGTCCGTTCCAAAGCTCTGACATGGCGAATGTTGAAGCATGTTCTCCATTGCCCACTGCAGTGCTTCCAACTCAGAATGCAAAGCCGACTCCACCCTACTCACATTACGCATCCCCATCAGCTGACTATTTCCGCTGCTATCTTTCCAATCCCAACCACATCCGGAGAACTGATCAATAGCGGTCCATGAACCGTCTATCATACAAATATCTCGTAGGCTTATGGCCTGACCTTCAGTATCACCGTTCTCTTGTGTAATCACAACTTCCTGCTCATTAGCTTGGAACCAGGCAATACACTCACTCTCTGCATACCGGGCTAGTTCCAGAGGGTCTCTATCTATTCCCCGGAACAACTTATTATTCCGAGCCTTCCAAATTTACCATATGAACCAAGGATAAGGATCCTTGTCTAATTCTGGCCCACAAATGGCCTTCTTCCGCCAGAATAGATAATCCATATTCGCATATGTGCTCTCCAAAGGAAACAAATTTGGACTGGTGGGTATAGATGCTAAGGCCCAGACCTGTAAAGGCGGTGGGCATTGAAAAATTGCATGTGCAATTGTTTCATCCGGTTCTCCGCATCGTGGGCAGAAGTTATCGCATCTCATATGTCTATGATTCAGCGCACTCGTAACAGCCACTTGCCCCGATATAATCTGCCACATAAGATGACACATCTTCGGGGGTGCTTTAACCTTCCAGACCTGCGCTTGGAGCCTTTTGATGCTAGGTTCATATACCAAATTCTCATCCTCCTTCATTAGTATATTCCGAGCTACCCAATAGCCAGATTTGACAGTGTACTGTCCGCTCCTTGTATAACTCCAGCAGTGTGTGTCTCTGCGATGTGTTGAACTAGTTGCCATACTCCTTATGAGAGGTATATCAGCAGCGTCAACATAATTTGTCAGCCGATACAGATCCCATGACTTTGTTTCTTGATCGATAAGATCACTCACTCTCAAGTTCGGATGCAGAACTGGAGCAGATGCATGTGCTGGCCTCGCTGGGATCGTTGGAGTCCATGGGTCCTCCCATACATTTACTTCATAACCTGAATGAATTTTCTGTCTAACCCCCAATAGCAATAATTCACGTGCAGCCGAGATGCTTGTCCACACATAAGATGGACTACTGACAGTGAGCTTTTGCAGAGGCGAACTTAGTCGGTAATATCGCCCTCTCATGACTCGAGCTACCAAGGAATATGGATTTTGGGCCAATCTCCACAACTGCTTTGCTAGTAACGCCAGGTTAAACTCATGTATCATCCTGAATCCAATTCCCCCTTCCTCTTTAGATAGACATAACTTGTCCCATGTTGTCCAGTGTAAGCCTCTCTTTGGTGGGTTTGAACTCCACCAAAACTGTGCAATGGCACTAGCCAAGGCATCACATATCTCCAATGGGAGCAGAAAGCAAGACATTACATAGGTTGGGAGAGCTAACAGGATTGACTTAATCATTACTTCCTTTCCTCCTCTAGATAACCACCTGCCCGTCCATCCATTCACTCTACTCCGAAGTTTGTCTTTTAAGAATGCAAACAGCTTACATTTCGATCCACTGATATCCTATGGTATCCCTAGGTAGGTTCCCATTCCTGCTTCATTTTGGATCCCAAGTGTATCTTTGATCTCCTGCCTTGCCTCTTGACCGATCCTCTTACCAAAGAGTAAAGAAGACTTATCAAAATTAATGCATTGTCCAGAGGCTTGTCCATATTTCCTAACCACTTTCATTACTTCTTCACATTCACGGGGCTCCGCCTTACAAAAGAAAAGGCTATCATCAGTAAAGAGAAGGTAGGATACCGAAGGACACGCACGCGTGATGCGCATCCCCGTTATCTTTCCCTGATTCTCTGCGTGATTAAGAAGGCTAACGAGCGCTTCCGTGCATAGAATAAAAATGAAAGGGGATAAAGGATCTCCCTGACGTAAACCTCTCTCCGGGACAATATTCTCTCGTGGCTGTCCATTCATTAGTACCTTGTACTTTACTGTTGTTACACATCGCATAATCCAGGTAATCCAGACTTCTGAGAATCCCATCTTCCTCATGGTGGCTTCAATGAAAGACCATTCCATACGATCATATGCCTTACTCATGTCTGTTTTGATGGCCATCCTCTTATTGCGCCCACTGGGTTTTGTTCTTAAGGCATGGAACAATTCCTGGGCTATCATTATGTTGTCTGATATCTGCCTCCCAGCAACAAAGGCTGACTGAGTCTCAGAGATCCTATCTGGAAGGACCTTTTTTAGTCTTTGGCATAAGACCTTGGAGATAATCTTGTAGCAAACGTTACACAGACTAATGGGTCGTAGTTGACTCATCTGGTTTGGCTTGTCAACTTTTGGGATAAGGCATATATTAGTCTCAGTTAGGCCAGTCGGAATAGTCCCTTGAAAGAGGAAGTCATTAACCATACGAGTTAAATCATCCTTAACGATATCCCAAAAGTTTTGATAGAACAACGCTGTCATTCCGTCCGGTCCAGAAGCTTTCTCAGGATGCATAGCAAAGAGAGCTAATTTAACTTCCCACTCTGAAACCGGAGCTGTGAGACCCTCATTATCTGAAGGCGTAATCGTGATGGTAACTTCTGAAAGTGCCTCCTCAATCTCCTCAGGGTTTGACGACTGAAATATTTGGCGAAAATAGCTAGTAGCAATGGCTACCAGGCCTTCCTCATCCTCCACAACATTCCCATCTGCATCTAACAGTTGGGTTATCCTGTTTCTCGCTCTTCGCTGCTTCGTTAAAGCATGAAAAAATTTATTGTTTCGATCTCCCTCCCTTAACCAGAACACCCTACACTTCTGCTTCCAAAATAATTCCTCCGCCTTAAGGACATCAGACAATTCTTTTAAAGCCGTTGTTATCTTCTCTATAGTGGCATCATCATTAGAGGATAGACGATCCACCTTTTCCTTCAACTCCTATATACTTTTGCATTAGTATATATAGTCGTCGTGTAACATTTTCATATCGCATGCTATTGAAAATTAAGAAAACTGTTAAGGCGAATTAATTAATATCCTTTTTTAATTAATATCCTACATTACCTAATAATTGTAACCTAAAAAAAAAATTGCAGTGAATTTAAGGTAACCTAATCCTACAACGACAAGAAAAGGTGTGCATTCAGAGTCACTAGTCAAAAATATTAATTATATAAATTAAAAAAGTAATTGTACATGGTTGTTGAAAATATTAACTAAAATTAGTCAACTCGTCATGATACGGCAATGGAGCAAGTCGTCTCCTATATTTTTTACTAAACAAATATCCTGAATTTAGGATTATGAATAAGTTTTGCATGAAACGTAAAAGAAAGAATATACACAGCCAAACCGATCCATCAACTACAACGACTCAATTTACAGCATGTATATAAGTATATAACATGCAAGACTTAGGATTCATTATCTTCATCATATCTAGCTCCTCCTTCGAATCTTTTCTAAGTTCAACTTCCAAAGGATAACCCTAACTTTTAGTATTCTTCTGAGTCTCAGTCATCTCCTATATATGGATATTGAAAAGGCAGTGAGCAGAAGAGAAGAAGAAGAGCCCATTGTCCAAAAGCCAAAGCTAGACAAAGGAAAAGGCAAAGCTCATGTGTTTGCTCCTCCCATGAACTACAGTCGAATTATGGAAAAACATAAGCAGGAAAAGGTGAGCATGCCTGGGTGGAAAAGAGGCGTGGCGATCTTCGATTTTGTTCTTAGACTCATTGCAGCCATCACGGCCATGGCCGCTGCAGCAAAGATGGCAACTACCGAGGAGACTCTTCCTTTCTTTACTCAGTTTTTGCAGTTCAGTGCTGACTACACAGATCTACCAACGCTTTCGTAAGTAGCTTTCAAAATGTTCACTCTTACTACATATTATGCCATTAATTTCATAAATAACTGGTGAAATAATTTTCTAGCTTAACTTATTTGTTCTGTCTGGCAGATCTTTTGTTGTAGTTAACTCAATCGTGGGCGGCTACCTAACCCTTTCGTTGCCTTTTTCCATTGTCTGTATCCTCCGGCCTCTCGCAGTGCCACCGAGGCTCTTCCTCATCTTATGTGACACGGTAACATTTTTATGTGTTAGATTGCTGAGTTTTACAACAGCCAAACTTAAGAAATGTTATGTTAAATTCGGATTTATTATGAGTTTCTAATTTAAAACCAATTGATGATTAATAAACTGACTATAATTATTTATATATATATTTAAGGTCCTATTAATTTTCTAATGTGGGATATATTATTCCTAATAGCCCTCCTCAAGATGATGATTCTTATCGGCCAGAAATCTCAGAATTTTAGGATCTGAGCTCTAATGTTAGACTCGGATTTATTATGAGTTTTCAATTTAAAACCAATTGGTGATTTATGTATTGGCCATAATTTTTTATATATTACTTAAGATTCCATTAATTTTCTGATGTGGGATATATAATCCCTAATACGTTCATATGTTATTTCTTTTGAAAAAAAATCAAAAGAAAACATAAACGCAAACACCCACCACAAAACAGAGTTCTTCATTTCGTTTGACTTTAGTGTCTACCGTTAACAATGAATAATGAATATTTTTCGTAAAATTTTAGTTTCATGTAGAAAAACAGCTTACTATTAAAACGTAAAACTAGCGCTGTAATTAATCAATTAACCTCGAGTAAACCCTACTTTCTAAAGTCTTATATAGACACTCTTTAATGCATAGAATATGGTTGTATATGTACAAAGGTTTGAATACGTATGTTGAGTACATATGGCGCATCTGACATCCCTAGTTAATTCGTATACTGATTGATGTGGTCCAGGCGATGATGGGCCTCACTATGGTGGCAGCATCCGCTTCTGCAGCCATAGTTTATTTGGCGCACAACGGAAATTCAAGCTCGAACTGGCTTCCAGTTTGTCAGCAGTTCGGTGACTTTTGCCAAGGAACAAGCGGCGCCGTAGTGGCTTCGTTTATAGCGGCGGCTCTTCTTATGGTCCTCGTCATTCTCTCTGCTCTTGCTCTCAAGAGATCGACCTAAAAATTTATACTTGTGTCTATTATTGTATGTGCTCTGATATTCATTTGTGTGAATTTGAAAAGGGTAAGATGTATGTTTTGGTTTTTGTTAAGTTGTGTAACTCGAGTTGTATTGTGAATTGTGTTTGTAAATCAATCAACTCCCAAAAAGAATGATAATCATTAATCTCATACTCCGCCTCTTTGACGCCCTACTTAGAGTTAGAGGAACCTTTGGCCAGGCTTGAAACATCTTCACCATGACATACTTAGAAGCTTACCAAAGTTTTCCAAAACCGCATGTAGATTCTGTTTGAACTGTTTTTGGAAATATGAACATGCTGAGTTTCTGGTGAGTTTTCCGGTGGTCATGTGTACGCCACGGAGAATTCGTCACACGTTTAGTAGCACCTCCTGGTACCACCACCCCACTCAAAACATGACACAAAGCGCTAGACTCCATCTTCAATACAGCCTTCTTATGCTGTCGCAGTCCTTGTGGCTCTTTAAGCTTAATAACCTCCTGCATTGGTGGCTTCAATCCATTGTAAAAAATGTCAATCAAACTCTTCTCAGTCACATTCGGCACAATCCCTACTAACTCCTCAAACTCATTGACATAGTCCAGAATTGACCCAGTCTGTTTAATTCCAAACAACCTTTTCCCTGGTTCCTCCTCAACACTACCACAGAAACGATCAACCAATCTCTTCTTAAACTGCCTCCAATCAACAAATGGATCTGATTCCATCTCTCCATTATACCAATTCAACGCAGGACCTTCCAGACTCATCGAGATCAGCTGTAAGCGGTCATCACCATGATAGTTGCCCAACCTGAAATATCTCTCAACCCTCGCGATCCAATTGAATGGACGCGAGCCATCACAAACAGGCATATCCACTTTTTAAGCAATCTATCACGAGCTTCTCTCACAGTCCGATAACCTAACGGCTGATCATCACCAATTATTACTGGAGTCGAGGAGTTTACCTGAATCGGAGGATTCGACGAACCGGCAATCTCTTTCCCTTGTGCTTTCTCCGACGAGTAAATCCGTTCTATCCGAGAAACTAAGCGCGTCATCTCCTCCACGTTAGAATCGACTGAATCTAACCGCTCCTCCACTCGAGTAAATCTCGATTGAGAACTCCGATACTCCTCGGACATCTTCTCAAATCCGATCTTAAGGTACTCGACATCCTGTGTTAGATCTTGTACCTGACCTCGTAATTCACTCGCAATCTGATCATCATCGGTTAACGATCCCATCGCGTAATCTCGATCCAAAGTCACGACGCACCAATTTGTTATGAACAAAGTTATAAAAAGAGAATCCCAGCGTACTTTTTTCACAACGAAAAGGAAAACAGAGTACTGATTACAAATCGCTACTGATTAACTCCAGTTAATCAGAGCTCACGATCTCCAGATCGCCATAGATGAGCACCAACTCTCTACTCTCAGTTTCTGTTACAAAATTCTCGATAGAAAACAACTGACATAACAAATTCCGTATATAAACACTATCTCTTTCTTTTTAGGAAAGTCTCTCTCTGCCACAGAGTCTTTCCCCCTTCTTTATTCTTCTTTATGAAAGTTTCTCTCTGCCACAGAGTCTTCTAAACATCTTTAACTCTCCATTTGAATATCTTCTACTACTCCCTCCCCTCATCCCTCCAAGTCTCTCTTCTTCTTCCTCACATAAACCTTGGCATAACATCATGGTGGCCAGATTATTAACTCGTTAGAAAAATTGTCACGAGTATCACAGTCTAGTAGATCAAACATCAAAACCTATTTAAATTGAATCAGAAATGATGCAAAGAAGTTGGTAATTTAGTGTTTTTTTTTTACACTGATTGTATTTCATAATCTAAAGTTCCAAAAAGAACTTCAGAAAGAACAAAGTACCTCCCTATCAACACACACACCTCATAACAGAGGATTGAGAGGAATAAGAAAACAGAAAAATAAAAAACACCATAGGTGCCAAAACAAAGCATGAACAAAGAAAACATGCTAGAGGCTCAACAGCCAACATGTGTATATTTAGCTAACCAGGAAAACCCCTATCCGCCACATAAATTGGTAGCGATGGACCTGTGTATCACTGATAGCAATGTTCGTAGAAGAACCATTCACTAAAGGAGCTATTGCTTTCCCTCTATGTTGGAAGTGAGGGTAATGCAACGGCTACAAGATAGCATCTCCATCTTGAAAGAAGAAGAACTCATGTCACATGTTTGCCATCAATGATCCAATATTAGGGGACAAAACTGTTAAAGCACAAGAGCGGATTTTTAAAACTACTTGACTTTTCTTTTATCCACATTAGTGGCTTGAGAAAAGAACCAAGTTTTGGGAGATCCAACTCTAAAAGATCAATTCCACCAAATTTTAAACCTTGATAGTCTAATAGTGGCCATTTGCTTATTAAGCAGAGGGGGAAAAACATCACAGTAGAAGCATATCGACACGTACCGTTGCTCCAAAGGATCCGGTAATTTAGTGTTAAGAAAACACTGAAATTTTGACCAAGTGTCAAAACCAAACCAACATCTCTCATCGGTATTTTTAGCTTATCTTAGAACAATATGAGTTTTGTCTGTTTTCCAAAGACTAGAATAAGTCAACAGAGAGAATATCTTGCCGAACGAGTCAACAGAGAGAATATCTTGCCGAGAAATTAACTTAACGTCCCACTTCGAGATTTTCGAGAGATTTTCACTAACGTAACGTTTGCACGTGCTGCAACAGTTATGGAAACCAACTCTTCTTCTCCTGTTAAATACCCTAAGTGCAATTTATAGTCGAGAGTGTTTCGTTGATTATTAGTTCATAGAGACTTTCATGAATGATGTATGAATTGTCTTCTATGATTTTATCTTGAGACTTGTTATTCGCTATGGCATGTCTCACTACGAAGCAAATATAGAGAGTTAAGGAAAGAGATAATACCTCGTCTCAATGTGTTGTTTACAAAAACATTTTTTCATATCGGTTTCATTTTGTATATTTTCTTAACATGCCTTTTATTTTATTGTTTATGTCATTTCGATCTTCTAGCTTCCTACATTAATCTCAGGTCTTTAACGCTTTTTATCTAAAGCTTGTATCGGATTGAAATGTTAAATGTTTTATAAAATGGTTTCTTCAATAATTTATAAAACGGTTTTTGTTTTTATTTTGAGACAGGTTTTACAATTTTCCTTTAGCACATCTGCAAAACTTTTTTTGTTTATATACATGATTCTCAAAACGTTATATAATCGCACCCCAAATGGTTTTGTTTAGTTAGGTTTTAAAATGACCCAAACTGAAAAGCCGAAGTGTTTATTTAATTATATTAACTAAATATACTAAGAATACTAAAATTTGATGAAAATAAGAAACACAATAACAAAAATAAAAAAAATTAATATAAATCTTATACACTATTATCAAAATCGAGAACTACCTATGATATTTATATTAGGTTTGATAATAATAATATAAAATTATTTAATTACATCTTCTAAATTTTATTATGATATTTGCCTTTATGTTTAAATATAAAAATTATTAATTTGGTGTCAAATGATGGTTTTTTTTTATTTTTATAAATTTTATTTTCGTAACCAAACCATAAAAATAAAATAAAAACCAACTTAATTATATTAAACATTCACAAACAAAACCAAACTAAATCGAATTGAACACAAACCAAACAATACCGAATAGAACCAAACCAAACACAAACTAAACCAAACTAATTTTAGTTGACTTTAGTTAAAGTATTCTTAGACCCAAACCAACCAAACCAAACCAAAGCCAAAATTAAGCAAAATGTCCACTCATAAGCACAACCTAGTTATTTACTTATTTATTAATGTGTTATATGATTTTGGTATACATTTTTGACTAAATTACCCTTACTGACATTCTCAATTAATGGTATTTTTTGTAATACACCAGATGCATATAAGGTTAGTTTTATAAAGAATTTCTATTTTAATATAGTAAATACATTTGATTTAGAGTTTACATAGTTTCTTTATAATTGAACTCCATTGTAAAAAAAAAAACATGAATCAAATTTGAAAAAAAAATTGGAGAGAAACTTGGGGGGGGGGGGGGGGGGAATTTTTTTTACTAACATTAAATTTAAAAATGCTAAATGATAAATATGATTAAGCTTAATATTAAAATAAAAATAATTTTAGTTTCTTATTTTTTTGTGTTTAAAACTATTTATGCAAGATTTGTTTACAAAACATCATATATCATGCTTTTGGTTTTATAACGTAATTTTCATATATATACTATAGATATTAGTGAAAATTATTTAAACCTTCTATAATACAAATTACATTAAAAATATTGCCTAAAAATTATTGTATGAGAAAATAAATAGAATCAGATCTTGACCCGCTTGCAAAGCGCGGGATGGATTTTTGTTGATAAAACAATTATTTAATGAAAACTATTCTATTGTACTTAATTAATATATGCCATAGTTTTTAACCCATATTTAAAATGTGACAATTATTTCTAAACCATGTTCAAAGTGAGATAATTGTTTTCAACATGTGTCGTATTGGTTAACATTTGATTTATTTTTTCTAATAACTGAAACAAACTTATATATTCATTCCACTCATCTCGTATTTGATAAATATTTTGCATGTTTATTGAAATAGTTTGAAAAAATTTATTCTAAAACCATCAATTATAACACGATACACTATAATAAGATGATAAGAATACTAGTCTGTTTTTAGTTAAAATTAGTAGAAATATTTTCATTTAAATTTTTTTTTTTAGAAAATGAAGTCTATTATAGAAATTGTTTTTTTATTTCTTGTGATATTATTACTTAGTTTTAGTTAGAAATAATTGGTATTTCAATTTAATCAATTATTGGAATATTAGCTTACAAAGTATAATTGTATATTATTTAACTGTATATGTCTCTGTTATTTACCGTCAATTTCATTTACGAAGTATAAGAAAAGCATAAATATGATTAAAGCTATATGCCAGTCTGTATTAGATAATAAAAATATAAAAAAGCATTATAAATAATAGAAAAAGTATATGTTACAGCATATTTTTTGCTTATTTAGTCTACATTTTAAGTGTTCTTATATTTTGTGTATCATATGATCTAAAAAGCTAGATAAAAAAATTA